TCATGTGGGGGCTCGTCCGGGATAGAGACCCCTACCCAGGGACCACCGACCCATTTTCGGGAGGTAAGCTGGCCAGCGTCTGTGTATTGTCTGAGTGTTGTCTGTGTGCTGTTTGAAGTCAATCTGTCTGTCCAATTACTGTGCGCTTGCGAATCTGGTGAGTTCGGCCGTACTCGTCCGTATCTGGCGGACCCGTGGAGGAGCTGACGAGCTCGTACTCCCGACTGCAACCCCCAGGAGACGTCTTGGGGGTGTCCGGAGCCTGAAACAGTGGCTCATCCGGAGCCTGAAACAGTGGCTCATCCGAGGGCCTGAAAAAGTGGCCCATCCGGAGCCTGAAACAGTGGCTCATCCGGAGCCTGAAACAGTGGCTCATCCGGAGCCTGAAACAGTGGCTCATCCGAGGGCCTGAAAAAGTGGCCCATCTGGAACCCGGTCCTTTTGGACGCGTGGTTCATCTGGGAGACGAGAGATCCGGACTCTCAATAAAGTCTCCATCAGGTTTTGCTTTCAGTTTGTTAGCAAAAACGCGCAGCGAAGCTAAATGTTCTAAGTGTTGTCAGTATTGTTTTTGTGTTTGTTAAAATTTAAGCATGGGACAGACTGTCACAACCCCCCCTTAGCCTTACTTTACAGCACTGGAAGGACAGCCTGAGCCTAGATTGTCAGGTTTTAGGAACTTGCTTGTTTGTCAATTATGAAATTGCCACTGACCACCTGTGAGTGGCCCCAGTTAGATTTCAGCCTTGGGCCTTGGCTCAGGGGGTCTGAGCGTGGGGGAGAACCTGCCAGTCTGAGGGGACGGCCGCTAGGGATTTTTCTTTTCCCTTGCCCCAGATGACTGGGAATTCTCCTCCGCCTTGGAAGGCCCCTGGGTCAACGTCTGCAGGAAAAAAAAAAAAAAAAAAATCCTCCGGAGGTAAATAGGGGGTTTGAGCCCCCTGGTAAGTGAATGGTGGTGAAATGTCGCCCCATTCACTGAGACTTGATTTTGTCTTTGTGGCCACTTGGTTGTATTGTTAACTTTAGTGTGTGTTTGTTTTATGTTTTCTGGGGTAGGAAAGTTCTGGGTGAGTGTGACAGGCTCAATCAGTAGCCTCTGGATTCAGCTTGCTGAGTGAGAACAGCACAGAGTTCCAGTAGGGATAAACTGGGGCTCATTAGTCCCCAACTCAGCCTTCAGTTCTTGTCTAGTTCTGTTTTAGAATTGGTACCAGTTTTAAATGTGGATCCTTGGTTTTTGTGTTTATCTGTGTTTTTGTTATTTATTTAAACATCTCTGGGGGAATAAAAGTTCCAGCTGGGCTGGGTCACAGACCTGCTACGCCCACCCTCCCTGTGAGGCATGGAAGGTTACTGGGCTAGTTTGGTTCCCTTCAAGCCTCAGGCTGCATTTTCTCCTTGTGCAGGCTGCTAGCAGGGAGGGTGTAAAAGGCTGTGTGCCTGGTTTGGACTTTTTCAACTAGTCCTGACAATGTAAAAATCTGGACAGTTTAGTTTTAGGTGACCCCCTCCCCCAGCCCTCCTCCTACAGAAGGGATTCAAAAGACTAATTAGTGAATCGCCTTGCTAGATAAGCAAGCTCTGGGAAAATAAAGCCCAACAAAGGTACCTAGTTAAAAGAAATACTGTCTTAAATTTTTGTTTAAGAACTTTAAAAGGTGTACGTACGACTGATTTTGATTTTTGCGCGCTTTAAGATCTGTGTGAGTGCTTTGTGTGTGTCCGTGAACATGTTCAAAGATAAGAATTGTCAGCATGCTGTAACAATTGGGTGAGTTTAAAATTTAAAATTCAAAAGGTTATGAGGTTTGGACATTACCAAAGATTTTAAAAAATCTTCACATTGTTTTAAATGGCTTTGTAAAGATTCTTTAACTTGCAAATTAGAAAACCTGGTATTTTAAAAGACTAATGTTTTAAAATGTATGACTGTTTATACTGTAATCAAATTATCTGGCTTAACAAAAATGCATTGGCAGTTTGAGATCTAATTCCCTTGGCTAAAATTTGGAGATAAATATTAAAAATTTAAATGTAAAGGTTAGTTTAACACTGTCAAAGATGTTACCTGTTCTGTCTGTCTAAAACTGTATTTCATTCGAGAACCAAGAGAAGAGATGGAGAAAAGAAACCAACAGAAGACCTATCTTTAGGGGTAAGGGGTGAACAAGCAGAAGTGCAGTTCAGCTGGCCATGCATGGTGGGACAGGCCCTGGGAAGAGTCCACGCAGGGTGAAAGAGGGTAAGCTGGCACAAACGCAGTTCATCTAACCCTAAAGAGTCAGATTGGGTGTGCCCATTCCATAGAAGGGGCCGAACGGCCCATCTTTGTTCTCTCTTTTCTCTGCAGTCAGACACTGAAAACATGATGGTTAAAATAAGTGATGTGATGATCTGATTAGTATTGCTAAAACTGCCCCTTGAATGTGTTAACATTAAAATTAGGAAGGCCTTAAAAGGGAGCTAAAAAGTTATTTGTATAATGTAGCTTGCTTTTAATGTTTTACAATTAAGATATTTTTAAAAGTTATAGAGGTGTTAAGTCTAGCCTCGTGGTATAATGATGGTGACTGTAATTTTTACATTAAGGAAAAATTGTCATTTGAGTTTAAAAATCTTAATGTGTGTCTGCTTTAAAACAAGCAACCAAGAGGCAATGAGTGACACCTGGCCTCAAGATTTCAAGGGATCTTTTCAAAACGCAAATGAAAACTAAAGTATGAAATATTAAAGGTGATTAATAAGAGGCTTTTAAAAAAATTAATTAAAAAAATGGATTTTTGGATATAAAGTTTAAATGTAAAATTGTTCTTGACATTGGCCTCAATGTACACAAAGGGAAAAATTAAAATTACCAAAATAATTGCTATTCTAGCTTGCTCTTATAGGTTTTTTAAGTTTCCAGCAAGCCCAGAGCAAAGCACAGAGGATTCTTACAAGTTTGTCAGATGTAACTTTGACTCTTAATAAGTTTCAGGTAAGAGCATGCTTAAAAGCTACTTCTATGTTGACCACCTTGTTGCTTTTAATTGGAGTAAAGTGGCCTTTCATAAGACGCATTGATCTGCAAACTGGTTCGAAGCCAGCCTGGGCAGACAAAGGTCCCTGTGAGACTGTCACCTCTCTTCAGCCAGCAGAGTACTAGCCCTGGACTAAAGAGTCAGGGGACAGTACTCAAGCGCCAAGCTCAAGACTCATAGTGGCAGAGTACTAGCCCTGGACTGAAGAGTTAGGGGACAGCATTCAAGCCCTGAGTCTGGGACTCAAAGTGGCAGAGTGCTAGCCTTGAGCTGTAGAGCTGAGGGACAGTGCTCAGGCCCTGAGCTCGAGTCCAGCAACCAGCTAAAGCGAAATGCCAATGAGGCATTTATCCCAATGTGGAGAAGATACTCCTGGGACAAAAGCAATGGAGAAGCATCCAGAGGCAGTAAGCCACTGCTTGGATGGCAGAAATGTCAGATCCTAGTGTCATTTGTGCGTGGCCTTTCAAAACTGGTCAGAGCCGGGAGGTCATAGGAAGATAGTTTGGAAGCATGCCTAATGTTCATGACTACCTTGTAAGAGACAGGAACTTGCCAATCCTCTATGATAGTAAAAAGCTAATGTTATAAAATGTGGGGGATAGTTTAAATCTCAACCCCTTTATGTGCCAAAAAGCTTTAATTGATTGGCTGACACTAGTTACATGAAGTTCATTTGCTCAGGAAAAAGTTTGCAAACCTGAGTGTGTTTCTATTGATATCTGTCTAAAGGCCTGCAAAGGTAACTTAGGCATCTTAGGCATTGTTGAGATCACATTCCTAAGCCATCTAGGAAGATGCTTTTGCAAACCAGAGTGCTAAACAAGCTACACTGCTGTAGCCGGAGAAAAGGTCTGTGCAGTTGTCAAATGTTAAATATTGTTCTTAATGACATCTAACCCTGATGGCCTCTTTGTAAAATAGGCTAAGGTTATAGGTTCCTGGCTAGGTAAGATCAACGCCCCTGAAGTCAGCTTGAAGAAGTTACAGAAGATGGATCTTCGCCCTTCTACCCCCATTTTAAGATCAAGGGTCCAGAGTCAGTTTTGGAAAAATGAGGCAAAATAGATAAAATAATTCTTTTAAAGGCATAAAAAATAGGGCTAACAGTTGTTGATATGCAAGGTGTGGAGACTGCATCTGTCAGAGATGGTTACAAGACTAAGCCTTCTGAGCCTTCTGTGTCTATTTACAAAAATATCTGGTTAGTAAAAATGTTGTGATTTTGGTAAATTGTCCTGGGCTATTGTTTAAAGATCTTAAAAACCAGCAGGATCAAAGCCTGCCAAGCCTATGCAATGTATCCTTAACCAGTCTGTGTAGGAATTTACAGCCCAGCATGAGGTGTGACAGTCCCTTGGAGCCACTGAGAGATCCTGCTGCTGCTGCTGCTGCATACCCTAATGGTTAAAGTTCAACGACTGCCTGACAGCCACCTGGAGAAACTCCTGCCTAAAGATTCCATCACCTCAGTCTGCTTCCTGGTTGACTGCTGCTAAATCTACGATCTTGTCGGACATTCTTTTGGGTGATATCCAAAAACCCTCTCTTCCCACAGTGAATATTGGGGACAAGGATATCATTGGCTTACTTGTCTTAGGCACTTCAGTGCATAGTGACTGGAAATCCACTCTATGGTCACAGCCTAGTTTGGCTCTGGTATGGTAATAACCTGAGTGTGTTATCAATGGAGGTAATACTCTTAGCCTTAAAATCTAGCAAGCTTCTACATCACAGTGGTGCCTTAAGGCTGTTCTAAGATAAAGGTTCCGCAAGCAAAAGGAAAATTGTGCAGTTTTAAACTACAGCTACAAAGATGCTCAGGGATTGTAAAGAAAGAGGGTGGTAAAGAAAGCCTTGGAAAAGGGATTGTAAAGAAGGTAGTAAAGAAAGCCTTGGGAAAGGAATTGGGGAAAAAATTGATATCCACTTTGGATAAGAAAGGATTTGAAAAGTAAGAATTGTCTTTAAAGAAGACAAACCTCAGAAAGTTTAAGTATGTAGCAAATGGTATGAGTATGTCTTAAAATTGGAGCTTACAAGTACAGCTGGTACAAAGGATCATGGAACAAGTCCCCATGGTTCGCTACCCTGTTATCCTCCCTAATGGGACCACTAATACTATTAATGCTAATTCTTACCTTAGGTCCCTGCATTATAAATCACCTGATACAATTTGTAAAAGACCGACTATCGGTCGTACAGGCCCTAGTACTAACCCAACAATATCATCAGCTTAAATTAACGGAGGAAACGTCGGGTGAATGAAGGATTTCATTCAGGCAAAAGGAAATGGGGGAATGAAAGACCCCAGCCCGTGCTTGCCCACTAGGTACCCCAAGAAAATTGCTGCCCCTTACCCTGCATACCTAAGGGGGTGGTGGGGCAGGATAAGCGCAGGCCGCTAACCAGGAAACGAAACCTCGAGCCTCTGAGTCACCGCCTGCAGACCCTAGCCTGACCCTAGCCTGACCCTAGCCAGACATTCCTGGAAAATAGCCGACCCACCTGTCCCTTCCTGTAAAACTTAACCCTAATGGCAGGGTAGGGCAGGATGTAATAAATCACTTGTCAAAATTAGGGAACAAGAAGTTTCGGGGCATTCTGACCAGAACCGGCATGTCAGGGCAAGTACCGGCATGTCAGGGCAAGTACCGACACGTCAGCTCCCCCCCCCAACCCCACCTACCCCATCTGGCCAGCTTAACCTGCCCAATCCCTATCCTGAGCGTAATTTGAAAATAACCAATCATCCCCCTGTAACCACGCATCTCGCTTCTGTAACCTCGCTTCTGCTGTCCATAAAAAGAGGGTGCTTTCAAGCACTCGGCGCGCAAGTCTCCCGATAGACTTTGTCGCCCCGGGTACCCGTGTAACCGGTTCTCAGACACTTGACTCGAACCTTGTGGATCTCGTGGTTAAGTGCACCTGGGAGCCGAGGCATGCCCGAATAAACCTCTTGCTGATTGCATCCGCACAAGTGGTCTCGTTGTTCCTTGGGGAAGGGTCTCTTCAGACTGAAGGACACCCCAAGCCTTCGGGGGTCTTTCAGTGGGAGAAGGGGAAGCTCACCTTGCTGATAGACAAGCAAGTCAGGCCTGTTCCCTTGGCCTGAATTCAAGTCCTAGCTCTTGCAAAAATAATATTTGTATGCATTTTAAATACAGGATTCATATTTACATACACATGTTTACTGCATATTGCAGTTAGTGTGGTTATTCATTTTATTTTGTGTTTTATTTATTTCTTATGTATTTTAGTGAATATGATTACACACATAACCTTTTTTACATCTTATTACATAGGACATAGATTTGCCAATGTACTATACCTCATTCCTGAGACCCAGGACTTTCACGGATAAGGAAGACAAATGGGACATTTGGCTTCTTCCATCAGGATTACTTAAGTTTTTGGCAGTTCTGTGATTTGAACTCAGAGACTAGAAAGCCCACTTCATGAATGGGGAGGGGGTCAATGTTAGCACACCAGTCTGATGCAAATGGAGTTTGTGGTCAAATTTGGCCCTAGGAGTGGCCAAGATATAAACACATAGATGTGTAAAATGCAGTGTGTGTTTAATTACAAATGTATATGCATCTATCAACATATACAGAGAGAGACAGATAGACATTTATGGAGATTCTAGTGTATAACTCTATATAAAGAGTGATGTCTATATCTTACTTTCATATATTCTATTGCTACTAATTATTTTTTCTAAAATTATTCCTCCATTAATTAATCACGGTAGAAAACTTAACAAAATATTAATTAAATTAATCAATGACCTATATACAATGCATACAATCTTATATCAGAAAGACAAGTTAACTAGTAATTCAATTAGCACATTTCGAACATTCTATTAGTGTTCCTAGAGATAGGAACCAGTTTCCTAGGATCTTCAGCTATGTGTACGTGGGAGTTCCAGGATTGAACTCAGGGCACAGGTGTCAGGGTTAACCTCAGGCTTCACTGACAGCCCACCAGCCTCAGCCATGCAAAGTCATGTACAATTTTTAAGCCAAGTCAGTGAGACCCAGGATGGTCACTGTGCAAAAGAAACAAAGGTAAACCTGTTGTGTAAAACTTTCTGGTTTTTCCTTTTCCATTTTGATTTGTTTTTTGTTTGTTGGCCAGTGCTGGGAGTTGAAATTGGGTCCTAGGATCCTTGGAGCATCTGTGGGTTTAAAAGCTGCACCCCAGCCTAGGGTAATCTAGGCTGAGGCAGAGTTGTGAAGACCTGAGTTCAAGATCCGTGCCTGCCCCCCCACCAAAAGTTAAGGTCCTGGCTTGGAATTTGGGCATTTTATCTGCCATACCTGGGATTTGAAATCAGGGCCTGGGTAAGTCTATTTTGCTGTGGATGAAGTGGAAGCTCACCCTCCTTGAATAAAAGAAAGTCAAGAGTATTTCCTTGGGCATGAATTCTAGCCCCAGGACAGGCAAAATAATATTTATATACATTTATAATGTACATCATATATATGTATTTGCATAGGTATTACATATTGTACCTAGGAAACAATATTTTCACAGACAGCAGAACAGGTCAACATTGGCTTCTTACTCCACCTATTGTCTTTGGCACTCCTAGGATTTGAACTCAGGGCCTTGAATGCCCAACTCATCAAGGGATCAATGAAAGCACAGCAGCCTCAAACAAATTCACTGCCAGGGAGTTCCCAGGACCTAAGTTTAACTTCCAGGAGTGGCCAATATATAAATAGATAGATGCATAAATTGCTGTACATACATATATATGCATAGAGAGTGAGTGAGAGATGTATATGTATATTCCAGTGTATATTTCAATATATGAATATATTTATAGAATGTGAGATGTTTATATATAATTAAAGTACATGTAATATATTACTAATAATTATTAAGTATTAAATTATGCCTTCATTTAATGATGTATCATGGTTTAAGGCACAATAAAGTGCTTCCTTGTGCAAAAGGAGCTCAGGGAAAATGTCTAACCTCACAGTTCAAGCCTCAGGACCTGCACCAAAAAAATTAAATAGAGCCAGTAACTCCATGTGACTGTGTATGTGTGAATGTATTTCTATTGGTGAACATCCAGAGTCACTATGAAGAAAGGCACCCAGCTAGGAAATTTGCTTTGAATAGCATGATTTCATAGCACAGAGGGTGCTTTCAAGACAGTGCATGTTCCAGGGCTCCCCTCCCTGTTCCTAGTGTAGCCTGAGGGGTTCTCCACACCCCAGGCTGCTGGAAGAAGTCTGCCTCATTGTTGGAACAGGCAGACAAAAGGTCTCACTCCTGTACAGTTCTGTAACAAAAGACTCTATCTGGGCCAACTAGTGATGATGAGTGTGGGCAGGAGAAAAAGGCCTCTTTTTACCCCAAGATATATGTCTCCCCAGTGCTCTGTTTTGACAGGAAGCCTTCATTTGTGCCACCTCCCAGGGCAGGCCAAGTTCCCTGCACTTATTCTGTCTTTGTTAGCCTATGTTCCAGTGCTGAAACAAACTGCTACAATTAATTCAAGATTCCTTCTGGCAGACAACAACTAGGGAGCTGAATCTAATGCAATGATTCATTATTGGCAACAGTGCCTCCCCAAGATTACGGAAGTTTGCTACATCTAAACACATTTGCAAAATCACAATGTTCCCTGTTATGTAGGGCTGGTGGAGCTCATCAGGTTTTGAAACCTTTGACCCCTCCTAGTTGGGCCTTGGGTGGCTAGGTTTCCAGATTGAACACAGGGCCTGAGTACTGACCATGAGCTCAGAACAGAAGCTCAATGTATAATAGGAAGACCCCTACTCAGGCAGGCAAACCCACCTAGTTGTCTGGAGTGACAGAGCCCACCGCAGCAAAGTTGGTAACAAAGAAGCAACTTTATTGAGAAGGTTCCTACACTGACCGGCCAGGGCCACATCATAGGCTAAGGAGCTGATACTGCCACCCTGAGCAGCCCCCACTCTTTGGCTTTTAAAGGCAAAATCCATGAGGTCGAGCCTGGTCATACACAGGTGACCAATGAAATCATACCATACAAAAGGATTGCATGGTCATACCAGACCACACACAGGTGGCCAATAGGCAGAGCTTACTGTAAGCATGTGTGAAAGGCAGGGTTTACCTCCATAAGCAGGTGGTGTCGGGTAGTTGCAGTCAGATTACAATCTATCGGTTTTATGGGTCAGTCTTGGGGAGGGGGACCTAGAGGCATTCTTTCCATTCTAGAGGCATTCTTTCCATTCCAGGAGCAGGGCTTCTTGGAGCCAAGGTCTAGTTAACCTTGTTTAAAATTTTTTTTTGTTGTTGTTGTTTGTTTTTTCTAAACTCCCTAAAACAAAGGCAAAGCCTGGAAAGAAGCTGTACCAGTTCAAGTCTCCTCTCAGGGCCTACTTCCCAGTGCTTTACCCTTTGATGTCATGGTTTCACTTCTGGTATCTGTGTGTGGGTGGGGGAGGGTATTTTGTGTGCATATACTAGTCCTGGAGCTTGAACTCAGGACCTCAGTACTGTACCTGAGTTTCTCCTGTACAAGGATAGCACTCTACCACTTGAGCCACAGAGCCACTACAGGCTTTTTTCTAGTAATGTGCCACTGAGGATTCAAAGCCAGGGTTTCAAACATGCAAAACACTCTACCCCTAGGACCCATTCCCAGCACTGCACTTCAGGTTTCTTTCTTTTCTTGTAAGTGGGAGGAGTTGAAGTCTGGGCTGGGTGCTGTCACTCAGCTCTTCAGCTTAAGTGGAGAGCTCTACCATTTGAGCTACAGAGCCCATTCAGGTTTTCTGGTGGTTCATTGGAGATAACCATCTCAAGGAATCTCCTGCTCAGGCTGGCTTTGGACCTTGAGCCTGAGCTCTCAGCCTGTTGAGTAAGTAGCTAGGATGACAGGCATGAGTCACTGGCACCCAGTTTCCACTTCAAGTTTCTAAGTGGTGAATAGGAGATGATAATGTCATGGGACCTTTTGTGTGTGGGATAGTTTTGAACCCAGATCCTCAGCTTCCTGAGCAGGCAGGATGATAGACCTCTGCTAAAGACACCTAAGCCGTGACACTTTGCTGCAAGGGAGTCCTTGGCTTGGCACAGTAGAGTGTTAGCCATGAGCATAAGAGGAAAATCAGTGTCCAGGCTCTGAGTTCAAGGTTCATGATGGAGAAAACTAAACGCAGACAATTGTCTGCAGGAGACAACTCAATAGAATTCAGTATATACATAAACTTGTCTCTGCCTTGGGAAATATCTGTGCCTCAAGTTTCTCACCTGCACAATCATCTTACTTGTGGAGCTCTAACAAGGATCAGATGAAAGAATAAACCCCCTGAAGGACTCAGCACCCAGCACCCCAGAAAGGACTCTTCATATAGCTGTATCCCACAAACTGTCATTAGAATTAGGATGTTTTCATCAGTATCACCATTCCTTCAGAAACATGTCATGAACCAAACAAGTTCACATCTAATGGTTTAGAGGAGTGGTTAGTTGGGGGGTGGGAGAGGAGGGTCATCAGTCTCAGGGGTTGCACTCATAGGGTTGTGGATACTGTCCTAAGATCTTTTCCTCAAGGCTAGAGCTCTACCACTTTGTGCCAGAGCTCAGAGTCTCACAGACTTCTTTCCAGGGCTGAGTTTTCAACCCACCAGTGTCAGATCTCATCCTCTGAGCAGCTAGGGTGAGCCAGCAGCATCTGGTTGGATGGAGTTGGTTTGCAGCTGTTAACCTCTGGCTGTCAGGATAGATGGCAGCCGTCATCTTCAGATTCCTGGCTTGCTCTGTCATGAAGTATCTAAAGTCCTGGCCTTGTATAGTTGCAGTTAGAACATTCTAACTTTTCTTTGGTGCTTGAGTGACAGCACCACTTCCGGCTTTTTCTGTGCACGTGATAGTGTGAAAACGAACCAAGGGTTTTATACATACTAGGCAAGCACTCTACCACTAAGCCCCAGGAGTGACAAGTGTAGAAATAGATTTATAGATAGCTTAGGAGTAGAAACTAGTTGAGGTGAGATGTTGTGATGTTAATACTTGTGGTTCCAGCCACAATTCACACTGTCCAGTAGTATGGTGAATTGTCTCTGTAGATGGATGTGTCTTTCTCCAATGTACATTTCTGTTTCTGCTTTTTTCCATGTTGCCCTATTTCCACACTGCAGATGTGCTTTTGAATATGCTGGCCAACACAGTCACGGCAGC